AGTACCTCACCGCGAACACGGTGTTTTGGGGGGCTGTCGTTGCCCTGACGGCTGCTTGCAAGAACTTTGGCGGCCTAATGGCTGTTCGCTTCCTCTTGGGTGTGGCCGAAGCCACCATCACGCCTGGTTTCATGTTCTTGACGTCGACATGGTATACCCGTGACGAAATGCCCACTCGTGTAGGCATTTGGTTTGCGGGTAACTCTGTTGGCGGCTTGCTGGCAAGTCTGCTTGCCTTTGGCGTTGGGCACATTGAGGATAATGTCCAACCTTGGAGATGGATGTACATCATCCTTGGGCTGGGAACCTTTCTCTGGGCGATTCCCATGTTCTTCTTGCTTCCAGACAACATTTCCAAAGCCAGATTCTTGACACCCGAGGAACGGCAAATCGCAAAGAACCGTGTCATCATTGCCGGCACAGGTTCCACAGAGAACTCATCCTGGAGATGGGATCAGGTGGTAGAGTGCCTGATCGACCCCAAGTCCTGGCTTATTTTCTTCATCAGCCTCTTGACGCAGATTCCCAACGGCGGAACCCAGGGCTTCTCCAATATCATTATCCAATCTTTCCATTTTACCAACCTCCAGTCGACGCTTATCAACATACCCTACTCCCTGATTACAGCTGCTGTGATTGCCAGTGCAGGCCATCTATCAGGCCGCTTTCGGAAGCTAAACTGCCTCCTCATCATTGCGGTCGTGATGCCCTGCGTCATCGGTGCCGCCATAATCTACCGCAGGACCGCCGTATCTCACGGCGTACAACTCTTTGCTTACTTCCTCCTGTCCACTGGCCCTGCAGCAATGCCACTCGCCATGTCTCTTGTACAATCCAACTTTCGCGGCGTCACCAAGAAAATGACAATCACGGCCATGCAGTTCATCGCCTACTGTACGGGCAACATTGTCGGGCCACAGCTCTTCCGCCAGACCGAAGCGCCGTCGTACGAGTCCGCTTTCCAGGCTATCATGATTTGCTATGCATTGGCTATGGCTCTGGCGATATCGCTCAGATTCTATCTGCAGTGGATGAATGCGACGAGGACGAAGGAGGAGGGCTTTGACGGTAGTGCTGGTACAGCTGGCGCGGTTGCTGATGGGAAGATGCCGACGCAGCTTGCCGGTAGAGATGTTGCTGAGATGGTGACGGAGATTCAACTACAGCCTGAGGATTACGAGGATGTGACGGACTGGAAAATGGTTGGCTTCAGATATCGTCTGTAACTTACGTGTAAAAGTGTTGGTGATACATTTTTTCGAAAATTGGCGGCCAACTTGGAAATGCATCTTCGCCCAGCCCGTCAAAGCTACGTAGTAATTATCTGACATTTATTGGATTGCTTTCATCTGAATGCGTCCCAGAAGCTGCCTGGCCTCAATGACTCGAAAGTCAATGCCTGCTCGCCAACGTTGAACTGATAAAAAAGTGGAGTCTTTCACGCTAGTACGTTCAAGGCTACAGCTCCGGTGGCGGTAGGCGTTCAGAGATCCGCCCGGAATAGCCTTAATCCGAAACATGCTAGAAACCAGGATCTGCGTGGAAATTCCTATCCTGATTTCGCCATCATATGTTCATCAAAGAGCCTCGTTCCCTCAAATCGCGACGACACAATCTAGTCGCCAACGAACATCCACGATGTCGTGGAGAAATCAAGGCATCACCGGCTCGAACAACATTCCTCTTGGGAAGCGCCGCTTCGCTGAAGAGGATGGAGTTACTGACCAGGAACCGAGACGGGGTCGCGACCCAGAACCTAGGACTGAAGCAGATGGTCCTCGCCGACGCAAGAAGCGCAACCGATGGGGCGATGCATCCGAGAATAAGGCTGCAGGCCTCATGGGGTTGCCTACTGCCATCATGTCTAACATGACGAGCGAACAGTTGGAGGCCTACACTCTGCATCTTCGTATAGAGGAGATCAGTCAGAAGCTGCGCATTGACGATGTCGTCCCTGCTGATGGGGACAGGTACGTGTCTTCAAATTGCCAAGTCGACATTACCATCATTCTAATCATCTCCTCAGATCGCCTTCGCCTGCTCCGCAGTACGATAACCACGGCAGACGTATCAACACGCGAGAATACCGGTACCGCAAGAAGTTGGAAGACGAGCGACACAAGCTGATTGAAAAGGCTATGAAGACGATTCCTAACTACCATCCTCCACAGGACTACCGCAGGCCCACTAAGACCCAGGAGAAGGTCTATGTGCCTGTGAATGACTACCCGGAAATTAACTTCAGTATGATTGCTAACCCTTTCTGAAAACCCTAACCAACGTTTCTGCTCTCCCCGTTTTGGTGTCCCCTGTTTGGAGTCTGGCCAGTATCGCTGCGACCTTGCGAAGGCGCTTTGAGATAACTGGTCCATTGTCGAAATGGGCCTTGACTTTTTTCCTTTGCGTTGCCCCTATTCCCCACGTAACATCGAGTGTGAAACAGATTTCTTCAGATACTAACACGTAGCTTTTTCCCCCTCATAAAGTTGGCTTACTTATCGGACCCCGTGGTAATACACTCAAGAAAATGGAGGGGGACTCTGGTGCCAAGATTGCTATTCGAGGCAAGGGCTCCGTCAAAGAAGGCAAAGGCCGGTCAGATGCTGCTCACTCCAGCAATCAGGAGGAAGATTTACACTGTCTCATTATGGCCGATACAGAGGAAAAAATCAACAAAGCGAAGCAGCTTATTCACAACGTCATTGAAACCGTAAGATCCCGTATAGTTCTTAACATATATACTCTTGGTTGATGGTTTGCTAACTCACTCATCATAGGCGGCATCTATTCCGGAAGGTCAAAACGAGCTGAAGCGCAATCAACTGCGAGAACTTGCTGCACTCAATGGCACTCTCCGAGACGATGAGAACCAAGCTTGTCAAAACTGTGGCAAGATTGGCCACCGCAAGTACGACTGTCCCGAGCGTCAAAACTATACTGCCAGTATCATCTGTCGTGTGTGCGGAAATGCGGGACATATGGCCCGTGATTGTCCCGACCGACAGAGAGGTGCTAGCTGGCGGAATGACGGCCGGCCTGCGGGTAGAATCAATGGCGGTGATGCTGTTGACCGCGAAATGGAGGTATGCAAACATCTTTGTCAAAAGGCCCCCTCGCCCTCCCTTCCTTTTTTTTTTAGAAGCCCCTCTGAAGCTAACTTCCATTATAGCAACTTATGCAAGAACTTGGAGGAGGCTCTGGACCTCCAGCCCGAATCGAAGCTGGCCCTGGTGGCGGTGCTGATCAAAATGGAGCGGATGTCAAGCCCTGGCAACGTGGACCAACTGGCGGCCCTGCTCCCTGGAGATCCCGTAACCACGATTCCAACGACGGAGAGTCTCGAGGATCTGGTGCCGCGCCGCCTTGGGCCAGGGAACGAAACCGCGGCGGGCATGACCATCATGGGGACCGTGACCGCGACAGAGACCGTGACCGTGACCGCGATAACGGCTACGGCCAGGGTTACGGTTCATCCGGATCAGCGGCTCCTCCCCCATGGCAACAGCAGCAGCAGCAGTATCCAGCTCCTGGAACCCAGGGTGGGTATCCTGGATATGCTGGGTACGGTGGTTACGCTCCTCCTCCTGGTATGGGTGCGCCGCCCGGACTTCCTCAGGCCGGTGCCGGACTGGCAGCTCCTCCCGGCCTCGCTGGAGTAAATGCCCTCATTCAACAATATGCCGGAGCCGCTGCACAAGTTCCTCCTCCTCCACCTTCAGGTGACGCGCCGCCTCCGCCTCCGCCTCCACCTCCTCCCAGCAACCAGCCCCCTCCTCCGCCTCCTGGCGCTTAAGCAAGCTCATGATGGAGCTGGGAGCGCTGACGATGGTGTATTTACTGCTAACGAAGAGCGACTTCTTTTATTGGAAGCAATCAGTTTGTTTATTCACTTACGGTACAGGACAGTCTGGCGTTTTGAACAGCTTGGCCTAGGAGGTTCCGTCCTAGAGAGAATGTGAACAATCGGGCAGGTTTCTTAGTAACAGTTCTTACCTTCCAATCCGACTCTTCAGAGACAGCTTGACAAGTAATTTGATATAACCTAGCTTGTAGGGGATGGTACGACCGAGCTAATCCAGTACATTATACAGTATGCAGTGTAGCTGAGTGTTCTTTTTTTTTAATAGGAAAGTTGGTAGTCGTAACCGAGATTCTCGTGAGATGTGAAATGGCCACGGCCCTGATGACTTAGCAGCGCCGGGGCCTGGGGCTCGGCTTAAGATGGTGAGTGGCCGCATTCGGTCGTACGAGATGACGGTCCTGGCATCAATGTAGCGCCTTTGTTTAGGCTTCACAAAGAGGCAATAACTGTTTCAGAGACATGCATACAAGGCGGCCGGTGTCGTTGTCGTTTGCCTTTGCTGGAAAGTAAATAGGAAAAAATGGCAAAGAATTTCGGCGGCTGTGATTGTTATTTGATGAGCTTAACACAGACACATTTTCCCCCATTAATGCCGGTTGTGCGGCGTGACGGCCACTGGACGGACAGTCGAGGTCGGAGACATGCAGCTGCACCGGCTGACCTTTTTGGCCAGTTCCCGTTCCAACGGCCAGACTCGGTCGGGGCTCCAGGTGTAAGCTCCACATGCAAGCTCCAAGCTCCCCAAGCTCCGAAGCGGAAGCTCATGTCCCGCGCACCACCACCTCGACATGCAGTCTGGACATCTGGACCTTTCAACCTGCCGCGCATCCCATCTTCCCGCTCCGGCTCCAACCACCTCTCCCGTACCATTTTACTGCAGGTTTATATTTTCATCGATCAATCCTATAGGCGGCCCTTTTTTTTTTATTTGCAGAGAAGCACATTCCCACTATCCTGTTGCCCGGCGCTTCGTCCTAGTCCCTTGACCTAAACCGCCACCGAGCGCGCGCTTCATTTCCAAGGTCGCTGTCGCCATGGTCTTTGGCACCGCGTAAGGGCGCCTCTGTCTTTCCTCTCGCCTTTGCTTATCGTGAATACGCTTTCGCCTACCTTGCACAAATTCGCAACGAAGTCCGTCATGAAGCTCAGCAATCCTTTTGTTTTCCGGCCAGGCCCGGTTAGCTTCTGGACAACCATTGTCTATCTCGCCATTATCATCCCCTTGATTTATGTCCAGGAAACGGTGCCGCCTGCGCCGCCCGAAAAGGATCTGCCGCAGGGCGTCAATTTGACAGAAGCGTGGTTGGACTTGGAGGTCATTACTAGATCATACCATCCTTTTAATAGCCACTCGAATGATATAGTTCGCCAGTATCTCGTGCGTCGATCCAGGGACATTCTGGAAAGAAATGGGATTGACTATACCACGGATTTGACAGGTGGTGTGCCCTGGGAAAGCAGGTTCGTTCGGAGCTGCTCTGATGATGGAAGACATGTTGCTTACCAGCGCGAATAGGTATTTGTCGTCGGCTGAGCATCCAGCCCAGGCCGCCGAGGCTTCTGCTCGCCCGCGCGGCGCTACGCTCTTTGATGATCGCATTTCAAACGTGACAATGACTAATCCTCAGCCGAATGATACCATGGGACGGTACTTTGAAGGCAACAATTTTTACGTGTATATTCATGGTTCTGAGGACCCGGAGGGGGATTGGTGGACCTCTGACAATGTTCAACGAGTTGCTCGCAACGGCGCTGGCGTTCTCGTGAATTGCCATTTTGACTCGTGAGTCTTCATAAGGTTTCGGATATGTCAAGTTTGTTGCTGATGGATTCAAGGGTATCTACCGGCTATGGTGCCACCGATGACGGCGTGGCATGCGTCTCCCTACTGCAATTGCTCAGTCACTTTACCTCCAAGGGCCATCAACCAAAGAACGGCATTGTCTTGCTTTTCAATAATGCCGAAGAGGACGGGTTACTCGGAGCCAAAGCTTTTGGATATAGCCCCTTGGTGCAGTTTTGCAATACACTAGTTAATCTGGAGGGGGCAGGAGCCGGCGGTCGAGCTATGCTGTTCCGAACGACGGATCTCGAGGCCGCTGAGGCGTACTCCAAAAGCCCTCATCCTTTTGGATCCGTTGTAGCGTCGAATGCTTTCGAGCGGGGCGTGATTAAGAGCGGCACGGATTACTCGGTCTTTGTGGACAACTACGGCCAACGCGGTCTCGATATTGCTTTCTATTCGCCTCGATCCCGATATCACACAGAGGAGGATGATGCGCGGCACACGTCAGTCGACAGCATCTGGCACATGTTATCAGCTGCTCTCGCCACGACCGAGTCCTTGGCAAGGACCACCAGCACCAAGTTCAACGGCCCGCGTTCTGATGGCAGAAAAGATCTGGTTCAAAGTGGCCGCCCAACGGCTGGTGTTTGGTTTGATTGGTATGGCAGTAGCTGGTCTGCATTTTCGCTTAGAGGGCTATTCGCGTGGACTCTCACCCTTCTCATTACTACGCCAATCGTTCTTTTCGTGGTGACATATGTGCTGGTTCGCGATGATAAGTGGTACTTCTTCGCTACCAGGGTTGATTCTAGTGTAGGAGACGGTGAAGAAACCGTGTCATTTGGCGGATGGAAAGGCTTCGTCCGATTTCCGTTTGCTCTAGTTGTTGCCACTGCCTTGACAATTGGATCGGTGTTTTTGCTGGCCAAGGTCAATCCATTGATTATTTATAGCAGTGGATATTCTGTGTAAGTGTTTCGCGATTAATTTCTAGGCGGAACGATCTTACTTACTCTCTGCAGGTGGGCCATGATGCTTTCATTGTTTTACTTTGTGTCGTGGCTTTTGCTTCGTGGAGCTCACTTTGTGCGCCCAAGCGCTCTACAACGGGGCTTTACTCTGATCTGGCTTTTCATAATTACTTGGGTTCTCTCAGTTTTCGCAGCCGTTGCTGAGGATCGCATGAATATGGGTGCTGTATACTCTTTGGCATTCCTCCACACCCTCGTCTTTGCGGCAGTCTTGATTTCACTCTTGGAACAATATGCACTTCCGGCCAAGCAAGATTTTGCACGACAACTCAGCGGCGAAAACGAAGAGGGAGAAGAACAAGAACAAGAAAACCTATCAGGTGATGGCGGTAACGAGCAGAACCACGAGGATAGAGGGGAGGCGGATATTGCTGCTGCTCCAACAGAGACGACACCTCTCAGGGCTGACGAAGAAGGGCAAGGATCTAGCGAGCAGACCACCACGTTTGCCAACACATATAGGAGACCCGTGCCAGAAACTAGAGGTGCGACTCATAGCGGCAACAACAGAAAACGCAGCTTTCCGCCTTACGAAAACGAGCAAGCTTGGTCCGGTCGGCTTCCAACCTGGACCTGGTTTATTCAACTCCTCCTACTCGTTCCCCTCTACGTGACTGTGCTCGGCAACCTGGCACTGGTACAAACCACATCCATGGGCATGACCGGAACAGACGGTAGCAGCTTACTTGTTCCGCTAATGGGAGTTGGCATCTTAACGATCCTCCTTCTCCTGCCACTCACGCCGTTTATCCATCGCGTCAGCCACCACGTCCCGCTATTCCTTCTCCTCGTATTTATCGGAACGCTTATCTACAACTTGACCGCCTTCCCATTTTCCGCTAACAATCGTTTCAAATTTTACTTCAAGCAAGTCGTCGACTTGGATAAAGGCTCCAATGTTGTCACCCTCAATGGGCTGGAAAAGTTTGTACGCCCCGTCATTGGCTCCTTGCCCACTCCAGCCGGCCAACGAATTCACTGTGATGAGGACCCTTTTCTCTCAAACTTGAGGAATTGCCAGTATGATGCGTCTCTCTTACCTCCGGACGTGGCGAATGGCGAAAAGTTGGAAAACCTGATATCCTTTGAAGCGTCGAAATCCAAGAATGGAAAAACAGTCCTTGTGAGCCTTGATGCATTGAATACTCGCGTCTGCTTCCTCGACACTTCGTCCCCAATCTTTGGCTTTTCAGTTGACGGCGGCGCAAAGCGCGACGACCGATTCGGCTCATTCCCACCTGAAGGGCTCCAACAGATTCAACTTTGGAGGCGTGATTGGGAAAAGGGCTGGAATGTTACACTTTACTTGGGTGGGAATGTGCTTCCCACGAACCAGGATAGTGTTGAAGCCACGGAGGTCGACGAAGTGGATGATGACCCTAGCGGCGGAGAACTGAAACGAAGAGCAGTCAGGGAGTTTGTCGTGACGGCGAGATGTGCCTGGTCAGATGTCAACAGTGCAAACACGATTCCGGCATTCCACGAGGTGAAGCAGTTCATGCCCAGGTGGGCGATTGTCGCGAAAAAGTCTGTTGGTCTAGTGGAAATCACCAAGAAGATCAAGGTGACGTAAATGTGCGCGCGTGAGAGAACAAGGAAATTTGGCACTTTTAGTAGTCAGGGAACATAATCACTTGTAGTAGTAGTCATTGCTCGTTAATACCAGTACGTTGTATGAACCAAACGCATCTTGCGGGTGCCAAACATGCAGTGTCCTGCTTACGCCCTCATCCCTCTGTATTCCTGTCCGCAGTCGCCAATCTTCTGATACACGGCATGCAGCTTCTCGCCGTTGTTGCCATGCGCAAACGCATCAATGGCCATAATGTCGGCATTGCTCAAGTTCCATCCAAACACGTGGAGCGCATCGGCGCAGCGATCCGACACGCCTAATCTCGTCCCGACGAGGACGGCGCCCACCGACGGCTGCTGCAACACCCACCGACTCGCGACATCGGCAATGCTAACATTGTACTTTGTCGCGAGGAGAGACAGGGTGCCCAGGAGGGACTGGAACTCCTGCCACGTGCCCCAGTGGTTGATCATGTCGAGGTATTTCCGCTGCGACGGGTTGAGAGGGTTCGAGGGCGAGTATATGTCTGGCGGTGGTTGGTTCACCCACTTCTCCGTCAGGAGGCCGCCGCACTTTTTTGGGGGAGGGTGGAACGTTAGCTACCCGTTATTCATGTCGAGGCTTGATCCTCTCGTGAGCGGAGTTGCCCTCTTGTTTTGAAAGGGGGGCCGAAGAACGCACCAGGGAGCCGTAGGTGAGGAGTTTGAGGTTATACCGCTCGCAGACCTGCGTCATGCCCATCAGGGGGCGGGTGTCGATGGGCGAAAACTAGTCTGTCAGCTGAACCTTTTTTATACGTAGATTGAGCAGAGGTCGGCACAGGGGCGTACTTGTACTTGGTTCGATACAATGCCCACTTCGCCCGTCTTGTCCACCAGATACCTGCATATCTCCTCGGTGTGCTCTGCGTCGAAGTTACACAGGCCCACGGCGCACAGGTACTCGGGGTGGGATTTTGTAATGCCGATCAGTTCGTGGAGTATCTGGAGGTATTCTTTTGCTTCGTACTGGCATGTTGTGTCAAACACGGCGGTTTGGCTGACGGGAAAAGAAAGGGGGGTTGGTTGGGGACAGGAAAAGAAAGAAAAAAGAAAAATTAGGACGTACATCGTACCAGTGGAATTGGAGCAAGTCTACACGCCCGCCTAGACGCCTGCAGCGCTCTCTCACGGCAGCCAGGACGTACTCTGTTGTGACGGGTGCGTTGAGCGGCTTGAAGACGCACCACTTTGTGGCGGCGTATATTTCGGCTTGCGTCGCCGCGGGCAGTCTGTTGCGGAAATCGCCGTAGACGAGTTCCGCGTCCCCCTGATGACAGAGTTAGTGACAGAAGAAGAAAAAAAGGGGGTCGATGTTGACGGCTGGGGGTTCTCGGCGTACGTAGTGGTCGGCCATGTCGGCGGCCACCAATCCCGCCTCGACCAGCTTCACGAGCTTCCGCTGCTGCTGGTGCCAGTTGCCCACCCCAAAGGCGGGCGAGGACAGCTGCCAGAGGCCGTTGAAGAGCCGCGGCAAGTGCCTGTTTCCCAGGGCGAACTTCTCAACGGCCCCGGCTGGCGGCGAGGCGAGGTTGATGATGCGGTCCCCGTGGCTGGACGGCGCCTGTTGGGCGGCGGCGGCATCTGCAAAGAACAGCTGCAGCGTGTCCCTGGCTTGTCTTTCCGCTCGGCTGAAGGGGTACTCGAGCCCCGAGCTGGCGCAGTACGTCTGGCAGGATGCGAAGCTGGCCAGCAGCGCTTGCAGGTCCTCCTTGAGCTTGGTGCTTTTCTCGGGCGCCGACTCTTTGAGCGCCTGCATGGCCTGGACGGTGTCGCCGGCGAATTTGTCCACGTGCTGGGAGAGGGGGGATTGGGCCGTCCATGAGGCGTGTGCTCGGATAATGGATTCGACAAAGTGTGTCAAGCTGATGGACGGGCAAGTTTAGGCATGGTGGAGGAGAAGCACAGGTGGGAGCTGGGCCGGGGAGACGTACTAGGTGAGAGATTCGCTGGCGAGCTTCGATGAGAATAGACATCTCGTCAGGGCAAGATACTCGATGCATTCTGGGGAGCATGCGTCGTGGGCTGGAAACAGTTTCGAGGCCTCTGTGAGCTGGGGCGGTGTTTCTTGGAGGCGCGAACGGGCGTGTTCGACGAAGAGTTTCTGGGTCCCGGGGCCTTGGGAGAGGAGCGCCCGGAGGGACGAACGGAGGTAGGCGGGCGGCACTGCTCGGCTTTTAGCTTTGAGGGCTTGTTGTACGAGGTTGGCTTGGTTAATGTTGGTTACAGTTTGATATGAGGACATCGTCCAATACGTTCCTGGGGCAGTGCAAGGTCAGTTGCGAGAGTGTGGTGAGACGAGGAGAGGGGGACAGGGGACAGAGACGCTGACTTACACGTGGCCGCCCATATTTTTGCAGGAAGCTGCTTCAAGGGGAGAGAAGATTGAGGATTTCTTATCAACGGATTAGCCCGTTGGATAGACTGTTTCCGAGGACAAGGAGCCGGGCGCATATCGTGTGGTGCACATGCCGGTTGTGAGATTGCCTCCCCGCACGAAAGGGGGGGTTGCGGGAGCGGCCGCCTGACGTGAGCTACTATTCTTGGTCATCTTGCATCTTGGTGCGACATACATTATATAACTTTCCCGGGCAAACATTGGTTCGTGAGAGGAATACAACTTTTCTCGCAAAAGTGGCCGAAACTCCAAGCAAAAAAGGGTAATATATAGTTACCGTTTGACTCAAAATAGCCTCGGCTCGCCCCACAACTCCAGACTCGACGACACATACATGGCCGGCCGACCTTGGACCGTTTGGAACCTCATCCCATCACACCGCGGCATCAGCAGCCATGCTGTCGTCCATATGGAAGCCCTCGGAGCAGCTCCGCGGCACCGAATCCCGCGCGCTCATCTACTTTGTCTGCGGCAACCCCGGCCTCATCGGCTTCTACGTCGACTTCCTCGACGCCCTGCGCAACCTCCTCGACACCTCCCAGTCCGCCACGGCCTACGACATCTACGGCCGCAACCTCCTCGGCTTCTGCGACCATGAGCACGAGCCCTTTACGCCGGACAATCCGCCCTGGGACGTCGACGGCCAAGTAGACGCCATCTACCAAGACGTGGCCTCGCGCCGCGTCCGCATCGAGGATGGCAGCGGCAGCGGCAGCGGCAACGACGGGCCTTACGACTTCATCATCCTCATGGGCCACTCCATCGGCGCCTACATCGCCGTCGAGATCTTCCACAGACACATGCAGGACCCCGGCCGGGCGCCGCACCTTCGTCTCCGCCACGGATTCCTCCTCTTCCCCACCATTGCGTCGCTCGCGCTGTCGCAGAGCGGCACGCGCATGAACTACATGCGGAGCCTGCCCACCATGGAGGCGCACTTCGTCACCTACGCCAAGGCTCTCCTGAGCCTCTTCCCGCGGGGGACGCTGCACTGGATCATCCAAAACGTCATGGGCTTCTCGCCGCGCGCCGCCGACGTGACGGCCGAGTGGCTCAAGAGCAGAGACGGCGTGCTGCAGGCATTGCACATGGGCAAGTCGGAGCTCGACACCATCTTCGAGGACAAGTGGGACGACGAGCTGTGGGAGGTGTCTGCCTCCGCGGCGGAGCTGCCGGCGCCGAGGTTCTTCATGTTTTACGGCCGGGAGGACCACTGGGTTGCCAACCATGTGAGAGACGAGTTCATCGAGAGGAGGCGCAGGGCTGGGGAGAAGGGCGGCCGGACGAGCATCACGGTTGACGAGGGCAATATTCAGCATGCGTTTTGCACCAAGGAGCGTAAGTGATTTTTTGAAACAATTTATTAGGTTCGCTTATGTTGTGCTAATGTTTTTTCCTTTTGTAGATACCAGTTGGACTATTGCGAGAAAGGTGCATGCGTGGGTTGAGGAGATTGATCGAGCTGGTGCGGTGAAATAGGGTTGGTCTGGGTGAGCACGTATTTATATTCTTTGGGCTGGCGCTGTTTTAAAAGCATTAATCAGGGATAGAATTTTGTATAGCTGTATATTCTTTAGACGAGAATCGTCTCTTGTTGGTGGAGAGCGATAGGCGCGGTAGGCATACCTCGCGTTCAGTCATGTTTTCTTGCTTCTGCGTAAAATCCAGCAACTTTCTGTGGAGAAATAGGAGCAAGGAACGCCGGGGCTCGGAACAGACATAGATCACCAAGGAACAGACACTACGATGTTCTCCTGTGTATATTCGATTGGGTGAGAAACCACCACGTGATCTCTTCGATCAACAACACAGCAGTGTCAGGGGGGGTATCCGGCCTAAGTAGTTCCAAGCCAGGAAGCTTATAGACACAGGGTTCTACAGAACAGACGCATGATTTACGTATCTACATAAAGGCGTTGAGAACTCGCTGATCTGATCCGGGGCTTCTTGGGGCTCTCGACCACCACGACTAGTAGTCGATACTCTTCCAACGATGATCCGAGTTGACCAGCTACCACTGCAGCTCCGGGTCTTGCTCTCCTATTCCCACGGTGATAGGCTTGGCAAAAGAACAAATGTTCTACCACTCGTATAGATCTGCGGTCTAGCATAAAGTTCGGGTCGATCCGTCGCCGTACTGGTACATTAATATTCACGGAATGGAAACTCATGGAGTGCGAAACCAGGTTGGCTTACGGAAAATTTCGCAGTGTAGAAGAATTTTGGGAACGAGGAGAGTCGAGTCACGAAAAGATGGGGGGACTGGTTGCTAATGGTCTATGTCTGTTGACGTTTGTAGGCGCGGATGGTTTGGAGAATTAGCCGCTGATAAAGTTTTCACCCAGGGGTATCCTTTTTCACTACCGTCACAGACCGAAAAGGGCGATTCGTGCCTAATAGTTTCGTAGAATCATAGCCAAGTTCAGTAGCCCGAAATGAATCTAGATATTGGGAATAACGGGGTTCCTCCTGGAGAAAGCTACGATACGGAAGACATCATTGACCACCAAGTCGGCCACGTCCACCAGCATGCCACGAATCAGGGCAGCAAGCTGGCCTTGGGAAGGATCCGCAAATGGTCAATCCTCATCCCTATTTGCCGAAAAATGACGCTGCTGAAGCTGCTGAAATGCTACTAGCCGCGAAGCCATATCTAAAGCTATGCTACGGTATCGATGTAGCATCGTTTGCCAGTTCATACCACGCAAGAAACGCATCGTTCGATAATGGCCATGGCCAAAATAACATCGGGTTTTCTGTCGCCATGGTAAAGGATCATACATTCTGCAGCGATGCTCGGTACATGTCTACATGTCTCCAGAACGCACTGCCCGTAGCGGAGGTTGGGAGGCGAACGATACAACAGCTGCCGCACGAAGAGCGTTGTCCAGAGAGTCCTCTGCCGTGAAGCCGGAATGAGACACGATCGTGTACTAAGAAGATGGCCAGCTTTGGATCGTGGCAATAAAGATTGCAGCCGCGGCGTTGGCTATATGGTGATGGGCCTGTCAAAAACCCAGGCGAGGCGGCGTCGTGCGCGTGAGCCCATTGCAGGTCATTGCCCTTGAAGGGGATTCAGGCCAAGCTCCAGACTACCAGCGCTAATAGTCCCTAGTCTGGCCCGACAATGTTCCGCCCACACCCCCCTCCATAGCAAGTTGGTCTCCGTAGGAGTCATTCTGTGACCTGTCAGCCTGCCAAGCTTCTTCCAAGAGATTTTGGCAGATTGACACGCCGCACGGAAGCAGGTACCCGACAACCCCGTCGCGCGGCACTGGATTCTACTAGAGCTTCTCGGCTTCCACGTACATGTACCGTCAGCGGCTTGTGCCGGAGAATCCCCAAGGGCCTGCCCAATCATCCTCAATCCAAGAGGTAAAGAAAACACTTGACGGCCCATTGGTCCCAACGGGACAAAGGCAGGCGCGTGTCAAGACCAGTCACGCAACTCATCATAGACGGGGTAGAACCCCACGCAGAGTAACCGTTCCTGGTCACTCTGCGCACTCTGCGCACTCTACGCACAGAGCGTCTGCACGTCATGCTAGCAGAAACTCTCTCATGGATCTTTACTTTCTCACCAGCTTCTGATTTTCCGTCCCCACGAACGCGGTAGCAAAATCATGCCAAAACGAAAGTACAACTCGACGACAGCTCGAGACACCTACTCCGTAGTCACGACGGAGCTGAGCTAAATGGGCCCTATGACCATTTCCGTCGGTTCCAGCGCGCAACTATCCCAAAGTCATCAATTGGTCCAGTCCCTTTCGGGGACCCGACGCCACCCCCCATTCTTCCCCTGCTCCCCCACGTCAAAAGTGTGGGCTCAATAAAAACAGACACGGGATGTTTTCTTCTACAGTAATTTCCATGGAAGTTGTACATTCTCTACCACTAGTATCAATTCCAAAACTAACCTCCAGGTTGCAGGGAGCTCGCACGACAGAAACCGTCCAAGGGCGTGGATCAAACAGGAAGCGGCAGTCACGCGAGCGCCTATCCTGGCGTGTTAATCTCCTGTTCTTAACCATGTTATTCATCGAAGGCGGGATCGAGCCAATGCCCAAGCTTCCATCAGAGGGTCATGAATTGCGACGCGGGCTCTCATGATTCATCGTTGTGCTTGGGAGCTCCAGTGACTAGAACGTATACTGTGTCGTTTCGGCGCATAATGTGTTCCAGTTAGGCCCCCCACATCCGTCACGGTGTCAATATAGATACATATACGATGGATAAACCCTGGAGCATATTAGAGTTGGCACTGATGGCAGCGCCAAGGGGAGAAAAAAGTTTAATCAGCTCGCTAGTGTCAGTGCTTAGGCAAGCACTTTAACTCATTGTAGTTCGAAGACATGGATGATGCACTCCCGGCGAATTTAAACATGGATGGCTGGCCCGTCTTGGCGCTGTCAGACCAGATGCCGGACTCGATTGCTTCTGGGGGGCAGATAGTCGTCTGGGGCATCATGACAACAACATCTCAGTCCAAAGCGTGGAATGCAGAAATGGTTTGCAATACAATGATCCGATCCCTTTGTCACCTAATTCCGGGCACTTTCGAGTCACATATACCGAGGTCATGAATTATCAAGTCGAAGCACTGAGGCTCATTAGTATTACCCAGATACTGGTTGTTCTATTTCGAGCGAGGACACGGCCCCTCGACAAAGGGGGGTTTTAAAGACCCATCCACAGTATTTTTCAATATGCTACATTTGCTTTCCTTCAAAGCGGTGCCCAGTATGTATACATATCTCCCATTAACTTGATCCCGTGATACTTCAAGGTCCACCTTTCATCGTGCCACCCAGGCCCCTATAGATGAAGCTTCTTACAGAGCCAGAGCGCCGATGGCGAGCATGGCAAGGCCGCCGATAGGGGCGAGACCAGCGGCACCAGCAGTGACAGGAGTAGAAGGGGCAGGAGGAGCAGTGTCGTTGGTGGCAGGATTGGGAGGGCTGGAAGGGGTGGAAAGGGTGGAAGGGCAGGGCTGGGTAGCCACCGTGGCCACCGTGGCCACCGTGGCAGGGCACTCAGTATTACCGGCGACCTCAGACTCGGTAGGCTCGGCCGTGTGAGTAGGATGAGCCTCAGCCACCTCGGAGGCCGTCTCGGTAGAAGCAGAAGCAGAGGAAGCAGCCTCGGAGCTTCCACCCTCGCTAGCCGAAGCGCAGAGCTTCTGGGTGGCCGGAAGAACCTTGTCTATTAGTTGGTCATGTTAGTTATGGTGGTTTCCCACGTCAAGCTTCAGTAACTAGGACAAAGGCATCAAACTCACTCAGGGCTACATCGGAGCCACACTTTGCAAGAACGCAAGAGGTAGCGTCACCCTGGACCTTGGAGAAGTTTTGCTCCTTGCAGATGCACTTGAAGTCGGTCTTGTCGCATGAGGTGGTCTTCTTGACGGAGTCCTCAAGGCAGGGCAGAGCGCAAGAAGGAACATCACCGGCGCTCTGAGCCGAGACCAGGGCGGCCATGGTGATGGCGGCGACAGCAAAGAACTTCATTTTGAAGGTATTGAGAGGGTTTTGTTGAAGTTGGTGGTGTGCAAAACTACGAGTGAATCGAGAGTACTAAGCGAATGGATGGATGGAGGAGAGGCGAAGGGGAGGGAAAACACGGGATACCGGGGACGGGATCGTCTGCTTTAAGTAGATGAACGACGCAGTCAAGGTGTCTTCGACTTGACAACTGGGCGAGGGGGGGGGCAGAATACGGCACAATACCAAGTTGGAAGCTTTCCATCTGCTTCAATCGCACTTACATCAAAAGGGCTGGGCTCTCCACCACTATTTCTCCAGCCAGTCCGTATTGTATGTATTATACGTGTGAGCCGGGGGCATCCTCCACACGCCTCCACATGTACTATGATGCGCATGAAATCTTCGTTTCCGCTCTGGGGTACAGGAGAGATGGCTCCCACTACGGCTGATCGGCCGGCGGCCCTGGGGTTGGAGGAGGAAGGGGGTGTGTGCAGGCCTTCACTTGTGGGGAAAACACAAAGAAAAGCAGTGGGTGAGCGGCATTGATTGTTTGTGTGGGCCTCGAGTGCTCATGCCAGGCCATGTTTGATGATGGCACCGTCAAGGTCCTGCATGTGGCCTCTGCTTGGTGCTGGGCTTGGTGGAGGCCATGCTAACTGCATTCGCGCTGCGTGACCGAGAGAGGCCGACAATCCGACGATGCGCGACCAAGACGGAGACGGGCGAACAAGACAGAAGCCGCTCTGGCGTGTAGAAGATACATGTTGGAAATGGAGCTCAGGAAGACCTGGCGCTTCTCTGGTCGTCGCCTGTTGAGGCTCGCTGAGTGAAGATGGTTAGTAGACCCAGGTCAGACTGACTACCAAAATCACAAAGCCTGCTTTGCTCGTCAAGTGCCGTCACTTTTCTGCAATGTCACACAGCTCGGGAGTCCAGGCACGGCAACGGCACGAAGCCGGGAGGGCTTTTGAGGCCACAGCTAGGTTTCTAGGGAACAAGCTTTCCAGGCTGTCAATTGATCCCGATGGGGACCGTTGCAGTCGGCAATGACGCTCGAGAGTAGCCAGATGTAGTCACTCGATGCAGTGTATCGACACCAGAGTCAAGTAAATGAAGACGGATGTGGACATGAATGGATGCAATGCAACTATCCGCTGCGCGCCACCTCAAGTCCGTCCTTGCTGCACACGCCCCTTGGCTCAAGCCCAGTGCTGTTGGAGTTTTGAACTTACTCCCGATCCAGCATCAAGCCATTTTGTTCCTTTTGCAGTGGCCAGCCGGTCCGGTTGGTGTCCAGTACGACTTCATCTCCTTCACTGCCTTGCTGCAGAGCGGCAATGTTGACATGCTCACTACAACCATTGCCACAATCTATGCGCGGGTTGACCGAGACATGTCTGCATCTCCTGGTCAGGTTCATGGAAGTCGACTTCCAGGTGCCACGCCTCAGCTATCAAAGATACCTGCCAGACGGCAAAAGAGGAGGATTTTCTGAAATGATGCTAGAAGACGGACGATGGCCGGTTCGCTCTGAGTACAAGTGTAGAGCCTCATCCTTGACTCAGAACCTGTCCACATTGTTCGCTAGTCACAGCCCACGCAATAGTACTACGATCGATTGCACTCCACGACATGCGAACCCACATGGACCATTGCTAGCTGAAGTTAGATGAAATGATCCTTTGGAATTGGCGCATCTCTGCAACCATCGTCAGAACATCAGTCGAGGCGCGGGGCTGCAGCCTTCTGCCGACACCACAACAAGTCTTCCAGGAAACACGAATATCACGGGACCTGCCCCGGCGCACGATGCGTCCAAGACAAGGCATAGTCCAAAGCCTCCCTCGTTCACCCTCCAAGTGCAAAACCGCAGAACCGATACCTGACCGATCCAACGCCAGCAAAGAAGACATGAACGTGCTCTCCGGTTTTGCCTGCTAAAACAAAAAAGACTCCTAGAAACCCCTCAGCTTCACTTCTTGGAACTATTCTCCCCCCCCCCCCCCCCCCCACCCCAAAAAAAAAAAAACAAAACGCCCGCGCCTCCAATGACTGATAGACGCCACCCCTTGCCCGTACGGATATACTCAGCTTGTCCGGAAGCTCTCCTCACGCCCATTTTTCGTAGTCGGGGAAGTAACAGCTGTGAATCCGTTCCGCATAGTCAATTATCGTAGGGTAACTTTGCACAATCTCAGCAGTGACGGGGGCACTATCAAAAAAAAGTGGCTTAGCAAACGTCCAAGATGAATAAATGCCCAAAGGCACGGGGGATCGGTTAAAAAAAGGGCCGACTCACGCGGTGCAGACCAGAGCGCCAGCAATGAAGCCGTAGACCGTGGCATCAGCCTCGGTGGGCTCATAGCCGCCCAGCACCCAAAACGGCGCGTCGTCGTCGTTGGTCTTGCTCCTCTGGCGACTGCTCGTCTTGACGGACTCTGTCAGCAGGGCGTTGAGGCTGTCCCACGCCTCCTCCTTGAGCAGACGCACCTCGTCGTCCGTCAGGCGCGCCGTGCCCTGCTGGTACAGGCCGCTGGAGACGGCGCGGCGCGCCAGCCAGCCGGCCACGGCCTGCAGCGGCCCCGG